TTTTTTTTTTTTTTTTTTTTTTTTTTTTTTTTGGGGGGGGGGGGGGGGTCTGACCATAGTTTTAAAATATAAAATTAATAAAACGAATTCCTATGCACACTTAACATATTGTATTTATATTGTGAGAAAAACAAGAGAAAAAGCTATATTTAATAAAATTATGTATTATTTTAAGAACACTTTTAATCAAGTCAACTTATTAGTATTTCAATGGGAAGTATGGGGCGTTTAGGCAGATGAGATGGTCAATGCCCGGCTCCATGTGTCACTTCTATTCGGTTACCCGCAATCGACTTTAATTAAATTAATCCATGCAATTTTGCGCATTTAAGTAAAATCTCAGAGTCGAGATTTGTTTACATCGCACAAGCCTGACTATTATTTTTTGTTTCCGGTAAATAGAGGAATCCCTGCCACCGCTAATCGTGTTGTTACAGCTGCCTACTTTCGCTTTTGATCCAGGATTGCAACAGATTACAGATTTGATGTGTTGTCGAGTCTCAGAAAATGGAGCTTGGGGATAGTGCTTTGACTATTGCAATTAACGCAGTTATGTCTCTGACAGCATTCTTTTTATGCTTGAACATTATTCCAAAATTTAAGGAAATGTTTCTTCAGGCAAATTTATGTGGCATCGACCTAAATAAACAAAATAAAACAAAAATGTGAGTATTAATTTAAAATTATATTACTGATGACGATGATATACTGAAGTGAAGTGAAGTGAGTAGCTTTAGTAGCTACCACTGACTACTGTAATTGTGGGCCTAGACAAAAGTATGATAATTACTATGACTATGTCAATATTTTCAAATACCGTAAGTCGTAAGAAAAATTCAGATACTACAGAGGCTGGAAAATTTGACGACTTTGACTAGAAATGTTTGAACAAACAACTCTGAACTCTTGGCTCAAATTCAAACTGAAACAATATACATTTAACTTACAAATCTTTTTGTTTTCCCTCTGGTTAGCCCCGAAGCACTTGGTGTAGTGTGTGGTGCAGTGTTTCTGTGTACAATGTTCCTCTTCATGCCGATTCCATTTTACAAACAGTTGGCAGAAAATACACCAGGAAAATTTCCTCATCATGAGGTATAGTATAGTCACAGGCATATGATTATTGTATACTTTATACATATAATCGACTAGTATTAATAATAATGAAAAATATATTTAAACATTTTTAAAAATCCTTTTCAAATTTAATTGAAATTGTCTTGATTTTGAATCTGTTTACAGTACATCCACTTCTTGGCTGCACTTCTGTCTATTTGTTGTATGGTGTTCCTTGGATTTGCTGATGATGTCCTTGACCTGAGATGGCGACACAAGCTTTTGTTACCAACGTTCGCATCATTGCCACTTCTCATCGTCTATTTTATCAATATTAATGCCACAAATGTAATCATGCCAAAGCAGCTTCGATGGCTTGTTGGTGAAGATTTAAATTTAGGTAACATTTCGTAAATCATTTATTCCCCTTGATCAGAATTAAATCTGTTTGATACATTTATAAAGTTAGCAAATCTTTGTTGTGCGCTGATTGCTGTTTCACTCTAGCTTATGAAAATGCCTATACAACTAACAAGTAGAATAACTGTAAATTTTTAGTTTATTCTTTCTGTATTTATTTGTTAAAATTTCATCATATTAATTATTTACAGAAGTAGCTTTTTTCTTTACTTTTCAATTCTTTACTTATTGACAGGACCATTGTATTATCTGTATATGGGGATGTTGGCTGTGTTCTGTACCAATGCCATCAATATTCACTCTGGTGTCAATGGATTAGAAGTTGGACAGTCCTGTATCATTAGCATTTCTGTTCTCATTTTCAATTTTACAGAAATGCAAGGTTTGTGCACTAGTATGACTTTATAAAAGAGTTAAATAACTATTAAAATTTTATAAATAATAAATGTACTTAAAGTTTTTCTTTTTAATTTCTCCTATATTGATTCGATATATGAAATTCTCCTCTTGTAATAAATATCATGACTTTGAAAGAAACAAAAATGAGATCTTTTTAAAACCTTTTTTTTCACAGGTGGTAACAGACTAGGCCATGTGTTTTCTATCTATTTTATGATGCCATTTCTAGCTGTCAGCGCAGCCTTATTAATTCATAATTGGTAAAAAAAATCACATCTTATTTTGTGAACAAACTAATAGTAAACATGCATGTTATGAATGTCATTTTCAAATTATCTTAATTCAAATGACTTAGAATTTTTAAAATTGACTTTTCAATAACAGACTCGGTTATTTCTGGTTGGGGGCGGGGGATTCTATTTGTTTTAAAATATTCAAGGTATAGGGTCTAAACATCTCTAGTTTTTATCAAAAGGCAGAAACTAAATTTTTTTTTTAATGTCCCAAAGTTATTTCACCGGCTATAATTTAACTGATACGGGTGCAGCTAATTTAACTGATAAGGGTGCAGCTATTTAATTTAATGCTTAGGCAGCTAATGTTTTTGGCTGCTGTATTCTGACTTCATAGGTCAAGCTGTTTTTTTTTACTCCTAAGATACCTCCTTCCCAAGAAATGCTACATTATGGGTTTGATGAGTCTATTCTGGCCAGCTCTTGGTCCTTATTGTTAGGTCGGACCACATTACCTATTACCTCCTTGGCTAGAACAAAACAACTTTACTATTGTATCATGGGCCATGAAATCAGTAGTATTTAAAAGTATAAGTAATATGTGGAGCTGGAGAAAACAATGTCTCTAGCTTAAAATCTCAGACTTGGCTCTCAGACAAAGTTCTAATGAATAAGAAATTATGATTTTCTCAAAATGTAGCTACAGCACAAGAAAATTTGATTTCTATTTTTTTATTGTCTATCAGGTACCCTTCTAGAGTTTTTGTTGGTGACACCTACTGCTACTTTGCTGGCATGACTTTTGCTGTGGTTGGGATTCTATCCCATTTCAGCAAGACCATGCTCTTGTTCTTCATACCCCAAGTCTTCAACTTCCTCTACTCCATACCCCAGCTATTTCACTTTGTCCCATGTCCCAGGCACAGACTACCACGGTAAATTATATAATAATATACATGAAGTATCATTATTTTTATGTCCCAGGCACAGAATGCCATTGATAATTGAATAATAATAAGAGATTGGCTTGACAATATAACTTGTGGATTTTTGTTTATTTACTGAAATTATAATGGTAAGGAATATTTTTCTATGAATTTTTTCTTTTTTTTTTTCTTGTCAGGAGTTTTATGTGACAAAATAATCTAATACCACTTGAAGGAGTCTAGTCTATCAGTTTAACATCTCTGGCCCAAATGTTATCTTGTGTTCCCAAAAGACAACAATGCCAGAAAAAGTTCCATTTAATTCTCAACAAATAACCTTGCAGACTAAGAGCTTGAATGCCGATGCTTATTCATTGTAAAATCATTTGAATGCAGCAGCTGGAATGAAGCTTCTTTACGCAAAAGTATTACCTCAACTTAAGTGTAATATTTTTTAGACCTTTTCAAAATTAAATGGACTTGTGAACAAATGTTGTTTTTTTAAAAAGCTGCCTCTGCCTCAATCCTTACAGGCTAAAACCTGACCTTGGTAAACTTGATATCAGCTATTCTGTTTTCAAGACTGGCAGCCTCAGTAGACTTGGACAATTTTTTATTCAGCTTTATTCCTTCTTTGGTGTGATATCTGTTCAACAGGGTGTAGGGGAACACGGTCAATATACACAGGTAAGCATTGTCTTTACTCAAACTAGAAAGTAATAGCAAAAATATGCTTAATTTAAGATCAACTTAATTGTAAACCTCTTGAATATTCTCCAATTGTTTTTTTTTTATCCTCTTCAGGTTAATAATTTCACCTTGAACAATTTTATGCTGAGGATATTAGGCCCTCTTCATGAAAGGACCTTGGTCATCATTCTACTCTTCATACAGGTAAGGTGTAACAAGCCTGTTGCTGACCTTTGTGTTAAGATAATATAAGATACTTTTATTGATCTAAGGAAATGGACATTTTTTTTTTTTATTACATTGTACATATTCATTTTCAGCACATAAATAAACACGTATTTTAACCAAGACAACATTTACAATTATAGCAATTTCAACACATGACAAAAAGGTATTTCTCTATCCTAAATATTAGCCATCATAGACCGAAAAAAAATTAAATTGCTTAGTAACAATAATGACTTGATTAGTGGTCTTTTAGATTTGGTAACTGCTGGGGGAGCAGGCTCGTAATTTCGTATAGATTGGGAAACAAAATGATTTTGATATCCTTCGGTTTTAACTTAAAGAGAAAGAATTTGCCCTGATCGAGCTTATCTAAGTACTTGTGATGAAGAGAGTGGGATGTATCATCCCAAATTTTAAAAAAGTTTCACAACAGCATTTTTCTTTCAACAGTTCTTCAAGTGACAGATGGTTAGTTTTTGTGATCTTACTAGCTTTCTTGGGTAGTCCTTTTAATTGGTTAAGACCTCATCATCCTGCATTGTGACACAGACTTTCAGAGCTAGCGTTTACTATTACAAATGCTAATACCCTGAAAACAAAAAAAAGGATTTTCTTATTTTAAATGTTTAAGTAGAACATATGTTTATACCTTTTTTTTTTTTTTCAAGTTATGTTTAAATGTTATAACAAAAAGTAATTGTTTTGTAAAGGATGTTTGGTATTAATGACAGTATTAAATATTCTTTGGCTAATGCTTTGATCTCCAATAACCTCTTCCTTGAAAAAGCTCCAGCAAAAAATACAGGTGAAAATGTGGAACAAATGTTTTCAAAAATTGAATGCCCCGTCAATAAAAAAATTTAATTGATGTATCGTTTTTCCTTTCTACTTTGCAGATTATCTTTAGTGGTGTTGCATTTATCATCAGATACCAGTTGGCAAAAATATTTTATGATCATTAAGAGAGCTGAAACTCTTAAACCTTACCACATCCTGGATGTAGTAATTATTTTCTTAGATTAGGTGTGCAATACAACAATTTAATTAATCATAGTTAGCAAAGTGTCTCAGAATATAGGTTTTTTATTATTTAGCTGTTGTCAGGAGACAAAAAGATACTACAAGAATTAGGAGGGAACCGAACGCAAAATTCAAAGTTGATTGTGTTTTTGTTGACTATATTTTGCTTTTTGTGAAATAATGAATGGCACATTTGAATGAGTTATGTTTTATATTTCTAATTGTAAAAACTCCTGCTGCCTCCAACTACAGTAGTAAGGAAATGTATAGTTCAGAGCCAAATGAAGTAACAGCTTGTGTTAATATTCATTTTGTTAATTAGAATTTTAAACATAATTTCTGCCATTGTGATGATTATGAACAGTTAAATTCTAAGTTCACTGTCTTATAATATTTTTTAAATGCCATAAAATATTCCAAATGTATTTTTAAAATTTATGCAAGAAACTTGAATGTTAAACAGATTTTACTCTACTTGTAGAGTTGTTTGAATGCATTGTGGAAGTCAAACATTTTACAGATGGCTATGAATTGAGTTAAATGATCAATAATGAAGCAAATTTTCTAAGAAATAATTATTTTTTTTGTAATAAACTTACTTAATTCTTTTTTATTTGATATTATTCAATTTATAGAACATAATTAGTATTTTAAAGATGATTGTAAACTCTTCTTAGATCTTTTTATATATTTAATGTTGTGTCTGAATGCAAGAATGTTCAAAATGTAAAGAAAATCAAACTTAAAACAATACCCTTAATAACTTACATTGAGCTGAACACACAAAAATTTGTCTTGTCAAGGTGTGTCTAGCTGTAGCTTAGCATCGTTGGATTGTTATGCTTTAAATATTGATTCACTTCCATAAAAAAAAATTTTTCATGAAAGATTAGCACTTTCCTGCTTTATTTATAATATTTACTTAAAATTTAAATCTAACATTATTTTAGTCTTTTTTTTTTGCCAGATTTTCTTTGAATATTTGAAAAAAGATTATTGTTTGTCAGTGTTTATCCGATTAAAAATGTTCAACCTTCTGGCAATAACAATGACAAACACTTAAGTTTCTAACTAGTTTCTATTTCTTGTCGTATTTTCATTTGTCCTGTCTGCTGAGGAAGGCTCTTAGCCGAAATTTTCTTCTCTTATTGTCCAGTATTTTTATTCAAGCTTCCAAATACCTTGTTCTACTATTCCCTTATAAATTTTACTTTATTCAAACAATAATGTTCTCTAACTTATATGCACATTGGGATGTGGAGTTCAAGGATTAACCATCAGACATTATATAATTTCATGGCTGTGAATGGTTGAATTAATACAAGTCTATTGCTTTTTAATTATTATCTTATAGTAAGATGTATGTTTCTATTAGATCCATCATCCTGTATTTTAATTGTTTCTTTTTGTAAAGTGTTGAAAATTTTGAAAGTTTTGCTTCTTTGTTAAAATTACCAGAGTTTGCTGTAAATGTAATGAGGGTCTTGCGGGGAAAACTCTTAATCTGATTATTAAAATAAAAATATAAAACAGCTTTAGATTTGATTTTGTTAAAGAATTTAATAATTTATCTTTATAATGTTTGAAAAGGAAACAAAACAGTGAAAATAGTGTTCATTTCACTATAAGGATGAATATAAGTTTAGATGAAATGCCTTGAATTTATAAGTTTGGAACTCAGTTTTTGTTTCCATATCTCAGAGTTAAAAAAATTTTTTAAAAAAAAATGCCTTTTACATGTTTGTTTATGTAAAGGAGGGCTCCTCAAACTTTTTAAACAATGGGCCGTTTCAGTATCCTCTGGCAGTGTTGGGGCTGTATAACAGTTGGAAAAAAAATGTAGGAATTCTATGCACACTGCTCACATCTTATTTTTAGTCATTTAGGGGAGGGGGGGGGGAGAGGGGCGAGGGAAACTACTTGAAAAAACAATGAAATATTTAAAATGAAGAAAACTATATCCAAGATAAAGTTAATAATATTGAAAGGGGAATTCCTGGTCATGCTTTTGGTTAATGAGATGATTAATGTCTGATTCAATAGTTGTTTGTGTTAGCCGGGTACTCGTAAGTCGGCCAAGGGCGGCGTATTAAGGAACGGGGGATTGGGGTTGGCATCTGGCCTGCGGGCTGTAGTTTGAGGACTCTGACACACAGAATACGCCAAAAAAAAAGGTATGAATAACTTAATTTAGGTGATAAAGATTTTATGTTGTCTTCAGTTCAATTGCATGCTTTTGTATTTCAGTGTCCTTGGAGTTTTAAGGATTGAGACGAAGTTATTCTTGAAAATCAACTGGAGTGTCTCCATATTGCCCAACCCCCTTCATTTTTAATTATCTATTACTTCTGTCACATATTTAAAAAAAAGAAAAGAAGATATCTCTCACTGCTAGAAACTAAACTCAAAGAATTTGGCCAATGAAATGGCTCCCTCGCTGACAATCCTCTTCCAATCGTCGCTATGCACAGGCAGTGTTCCAACCGAATGGAGAACAGCGCATGTCACTCCAATCTATAAAAAAAGAGGAGCACTACGACCCTGTCAACTACCGCCCGGTATCCCTCATCAGCGTGGGATGCAAACTGTTGAAGCACATAATCGTAAGCGCGGTCATGAAGCATCGTGAAAGCCACAATATAATAAATGACTTTCAGCATGGCTTCCGAGTCAATAGATCATGTGAGACCCAAATCCTTGAATTTGCAGAAGAATTGACGACCAATCTCAAGAACAGCAAGCAAGCCGACGTGCTTGTGCTGGACTTCTCAAAGGCATTAGATCGTCTCAATCATAGTTTGCTATTACACAAACTGCAGAGATATGGGATCCAAGGCACTACCAAAAAATGGATCTCTAGCTTCCTCAGCGACCGATGCGAGGCAGTAGTGGTAGACGGCACAACCCCCTCCTTTGTCGGTGTTAAGTCAGGGGGTCCCCCAGGGCTCGGTGCTTGGCCTCTGTTTGTTCCTAGCATATATCGATGACCTGCCCGAGAAGCTCCCCCCCCCCCCCCCCCCCAGTGGTAGACGGCACAACCCCCTCCTTTGTCGGTGTTAAGTCAGGGGGTCCCCCAGGGCTCGGTGCTTGGCCTCTGTTTGTTCCTAGCATATATCGATGACCTGCCCGAGCAGCTCCCGCCCCCCCCCCCCCCCAAGCAAGTTTGTTCGCAGACGACACGGCGGTGCATAGGACGATCGCCAACAGTTGTGACCAGGACCAGCTACAACAGGGCCTCCATCGGTTAGCCGAGTGCGAGATGAGCTGGGACATGGAATTTTAACCAGTCAAGTGCCAGACCCTGTCAGTCTCCAGAAAAAGATCCCCTCTTCACCACCCTACGAATTGCATGGCCATATTCTTGAGCCAGTTTCCTCCATAAGGTGCCTGGTTGTTAACATTTAAAGAGAGGTCTGCTGGGACGAGCACATTAACAACATGTGCAACCGGGTAAACAAGACCCCGTAGTTCCTAAGGCGGAATTTGAAGATCGGCAACTCAAGCATGAAAGAAAAAGCCTTATAAGTCTTTGTCCGGCCGCTTTTAGAGTACGCATCTAAAGTCTGAGACCCATTCACCCAGATAAGCGTCGGCAGGTTGGAGGCGGTCCAGCGGCAGGCAGCACGCTTTGTCCTGAACCGCTACAGAAACATATCAAATGTTGGCAGCATGCTGGAAACGCTGGGCTGGTCACCACTGGAGGAACGATGACGACTATCCAGGCTCTCCATGATGTACAAGATAAATAATAAGCTGATCCACTGCTCCAGCATTAAACAGAAACTCGTCCCTCTTTCCCCTAGACAGTGACGAGACCATTAATGGCAGTTCTGGCTCATAAAAACAAGAACTTAGTACAGGAGCGCCTCATTCCTGTTAACGACAATAAGGGACTGGAACAAGCTTTCAAAAGCAACAGTTGAAGCGACTACACTTGACACATTTGCGTCTACTGCCTCCTCCCTTCCAACCCCCCAGTTCTTAATACCATTGCTGAGTAGCCCTTGCAACCAGTGAAGTATCCCCTTCAAAACCATGCACAGTTACATCGCGAACCCCTCTGAAACATAGGAGCCATAATTTTAATATATTGATCGCCGGGCTTCAAAATATAGAAGAAGAAGAAATCTTACATTTTTTTTCCATTTAAGTTCACATACTGGTGTAGTTTTCTTAGTATGAAGGGGCACTTTGAGCTATAATAATAGATGCCACCACCCTGAAGAGGAAAAGAAGTAGGTACTAATTTTATTATCGAGTCTCTTGTGAGTAGTGAGACTTTTGAAGTTTTGGCATAGATTTCATTTAAGTAACATGTTGAAGTTAAGTAATGAAAAAATCATTGCAGATATATTGTAAGGCTCAGCAAAGCGACCCCACTCCAGGCTACACATTATATTGGTAGTGAAATTTATAAATCTCAGACACATTTTATGAGGCTTACATAGGATTTACTCTTGTACCTGTAAAAGGTTGCCGTTTTATTTTTTCACTTTTTTTCAAAGACAAAGACTTAAAAGGTGATTATATTTTTTCCTCAATTTATTTGTAAAATAACAAGTAGATGATTTATATAATAATATACTATATATCATTATTGTATAGCTCATACTTATGTAAATTACGCCAATTACGGTATTTAATTTATATCATCATAAATTCATTGTCACGATACTCCGTTATTTTGTTGGTTGGTGTTTGTTTTTTTCGTTCGCCTTATCATTATTGATAATGATAGAAGAGCTTTTTCTTCTTATTTTAAATTTTATAACACCTTTTTGTTTTATAGTTTCGAAAAGAGCTACATTCACTGTAACCTGGTTGATTTTTAAAAACATTCCTTGCTCTTCTTTACTGAAGTACATTATAGTTTCTGTTATGATGACGTACGAAATCGAAAGTGACCAAGACGATACACAGCGAGAGTGTTGCGGGTGTTGAAAATACTTAGGATAAGCTATTTCAACAAACGTGCAGCTTCCTGTCGTATCTGTTTCACGTATATAGTAAATTCGTTAAAACGTCCCCGTTAGCTACTATAAATACAAAATGGAGCCAGAGCCAGAGAACGAAGACCCTGCTATCGTAGGTGCAATTATCAGCTCAGGTGAGTTCAGTTCAGTCCTCGCGTAGTAAATACTAAAATAGTCATGGTCATAGTCATAGTCATAGTAGTAATCACGATCACTGAATCAGTAGTGTAAATGATACACTGAATAGAGAAGTCAAGTATAATCAAATATTATTCTGTACTGTAGAGTTGCTGTAGGTACTATTGTAACACTGTAGCGTGTAGAAGTACTAGTAATCAATTACTATTACTAATTAATTAGGGTACATTTATTAGTGACACAGTGAGTGGTGAGTGTAAGTTAACTTAATTCTTACTAACTAATTTAACTGAGTCGTCGTCCCCCCCCCCCCCCTTAAAAAAAAAAAACAACTGGTTCAGTCAGATTTAAATTTCCCTTAACTAGTGAGTTGTGACTCACTCAGTGCACATCATAACTGTAAGTGTTAGTACAGTTAAACTCTGTAATTAATTTGCTTGAAAACTAGTACCTAGTAGTATTAATTAAGTCCATGTATAACCATACAGGCCATATTTAAAAATGTAGGTAATATTAATATAAATAAGGCTTACTACCCATTAGAATGTATATGTATGAGTGTAATGTAGCCTTTATTGTCTATGATAAATATATGCTAAAAAACTGAAAAAAAGGACACGAAACTATGAACATGTTGGCTAAAAGCCTTTTTCAGCAAATGAACAAGACAAACACATATAAAATTAAAATTTAGTTTAAGTTTTGTATCCAAAATGTTATATCTGAGAGGATAGCAAGAGGCATTTCTCTCACATCTGTTCAACTTTCAAGCATTGTCACTTTGAGCTTCCCTTCATTCATCATTGACACAATTATTATACTCGTTAGCTGTTTTTTGCTAGTAAACGTATCTTCTTAATTAATAATTAGGCCTATTCTGTTATTATGTAGGCTCAAATGATTGTAACTAAAAATTGTATCTTAAACTTCAAAGCAACTGAAAAAGTAGGTTTTAAAATGTAAATACATGTTTTCCACAATTCCACTTCGACTTTGATGTTGTGCAGGCCTGTCATAGACCAAAAGAAAACATTGAACATTGATTGATCGCTTTTATCAAGTGTTATTTCAATTCGGCCTTCTAGGCCTATCACTTTTCAAGGGACAGTGGTTAATTTGTTTTAAAATAAAGTATTAAATCATTGCCACTTGTCACTGCCAAGAATTTAACTTCAACTTAATAACTTCATATACCAGTAGCTTACTTTGTTTAATCCATAGGGGTAAACCCCCCCCCCCTTTTCAAGTAACATCCCAGGATATCTCAAGTATCTAAAGTAAACAAATTTCTTTACAATTTTCATGAACACGTAAATCAAGTACTGCAAATAATATTCGTTATGTAGATTAATAACATTCCAAAAAGAAATGCATATCTGATATGGGCTTTCACATGTTTTTCTCTGCCAAGTTATAATTTTTTC